TTTGGGAGGAGTGTGCGTGTGTGTGTGTGTGTGTAGGGGTGAGGGGGTTTGGTGTGTGTGCATGTGTGTATGTAGGGGGAGGGGGTTTGGGAGGAGGCTGGGATGATATGAGGTGGAGATGCGGCTCTGTCAGTAGGTGCTCCACACAAGCTGAACTGAGCGGCTGAATGCTGAGCTCCCCCTGGACTCCCGGCCCCGTGTTACACACGGCATATACAGCGGTCCACAGCTGCCTGGTGGGATGAGGGCAGTGAGTGAGCAGGGGTAAGTGAGCTTTTAGTAAGGAATCAACCTGAGCGGGCCTGTGGCACCAGACCTGGGCCCTCATGAACTATTGGAATGAGGGAGTCATCTCTGAAGGGCCCTCACTGCACAAACCCACTTGGAAACCACAGAAGAGATGTTATGAGCTGGTAAAATGCAGCAGTAATCCTACGTGATTTCCACATAGGCAGACTTTCCCGAATTCTAAGCAATATCCAGTGTTTGAAGCCCAGGAACCAGGAACAGAGAAGTTTGAAGGTCTTCATCATTAGGTGGGAAGTGTCACTCAGACGAATCACAAACAACTACACTTTGTACCTATCACTGGAAATTGTCTTGAGGCTCCAGTTAAAAAATTAGTGGAAAACAAACACCAAAATGGAGTTATTCAAACCTCAATGCACAGGGGCGTCTAATCACACTGGAGTCTGTGTCTGATGAACGTACAGAATGACAATGCAGAGGAAGCAGACACTTAGAATATGAGAAATAGAAAAATGACTTATTTAAGCCACTCTGAAATTCCAAAATATCAGCTGTACAAGGAAAAAGAATTTATGTAGGTGATTTTCAGACATTTAATAGCTGTGTATAGATTTTGTATAATCACTTTGACTCCCAGTGCTCACATTTTCAGTAATATGCGCTCACATTTTCCAGTAGCTGCTGCTAATGAAAGTCAAGCTGCCTTTATGAATGTAAATTATTAACATTGGCTTATTGATACATAGTAGCTAATTTCCAAGATACTGTCTGTAAACACCATAAAGTTGCATTAAATATTCATATAATCATTGTGATAATCCATAGAGGAATTATAATTGAAATTGTCTTATAAATAACCAAATAAAATAGAACTTTACAAGATAGATATCACATCAACTTTTATAGCTAACGAAAATAAGATTGCTCTCACCTCCCTTAGCCCAAGCAGCAGAGGGTGAAAGGAGCCACCTCTGTTACATTAACTGGCACCAAGAATGTGAGGGGTGCCTCTCTAGGAGATGGTTTCAGAAGACAATGAAGGGAGATCAGAGTGTCTCTGAGGTACCCATCAGCAGGCAGGTGCCGCACATTTAGTTTCTGAGGCTTTTGCTTTTGTCTCTCTGTTTGGGTTGTTAGAATCCAGGTAAGAACGCCAGGCCCCTAACTGACCCCTGGGGTGGGCAGCAGAGTCAGGACTCCGCTGCGACATCGCCAGTGCCCGTCAAGGAGCCGGGGGTGTTGAGCCCAGCTCACCTCTCATGTGGCTGAGAGCCTGGGCCAAGGCTGTGCACGTGGGACAGGGGGCTGAAGGGACTTTGGTGGCCTCAATCTTGACCTGGCAGAGCAGCTGCTGGGAAATAAGATCAGGAAGAAGGAGGCACCAGGCAGAGGATGAAGTGGGCATCCAGATGGGGCTTCCAGGGTAGCCACTGAGGCCAGACCTGGCCAGGATGCAGGCTCCTGACTCCCTGAGCCCAGGAGAGGGCAGCTGAAGACCCGGGTTTGGAGGCTCGGGTCTCTCCTCCTCCTTCCCCTCATTACCCCTACTCACCAACTCTGATGGAAAACTGGTTGCAGAGTGTTAAGACACCTGCTTGGCCTGTTATAGAGAGCTGGGGGATCCAGGATCCAATGCAGTGCCTGAACCCAATCTCTGCTCCCTGAGGCCACCCTGGACCTGCTTAGGAGGATACTATAGATGATCATTACAGCACACAAGTGTCCTTTAGAAGGTGGGTTTTGGGGGTGCATTACTTGCAATCCTGGCCAAGAAACAGCATCTGAGATGCATGGGCCTCCAATCCATCTCAGGATCACCCTGAGAATACGCTCTGTGAGGTCAGGGAGACTCCGGGATCCTGCAGGAGCAGAAACCAATTGCCAAAGCTGAACCGGCCACCCTGCTGGGACTTCCCTCCCACCTCATTCTTACATCCAAGTCTGCAGCCCGTGCGTCTGATGGTAAAGTCTGGGTTGTCTCAGGGATCCTGGCAGCAAGCGGTCTTGGAAGGGCAGAGTCGAGTCCCCTGGCAGACTCTGCAGAAGTCAGAGGCGGCTAATGTTGAGGAAGCCAGTTGTCCATGAGGCAACCAATTGTCCATGTCCACTACAGTGGCCAGGCCTGCACCCCAGATACAGCAGAGGGGCATCTCACATGGGCCTGGCCTTGTGCTGGGCAGCTTCCAGCCTCTCCAGCCTGATTTCACCCAGGCTCTGCCCTCATATGTTGTTTCTGAACTTGGTAAAATCCTCATTTTACCCCTCCCTACCCACAAGGACTCTCCATTCTTCCTCACTGCCAGCAGAAAGGACCTCTTCAATGTGCTCCTGTATCTCTCCTTTGCCTGGAAGGGCCTCCTAACTGTCTGTCTGATCCCCCAAAGATCGTCCAACACACAGCTCAGACACTTCTCTTCTGATCAGCCTTTTCCAACGTGACTTCTCTAGGAAAAGAAGCACCAATTACTTTTTGGTTCCTAAGCACCATGGTTTATTACACAATCAGGTCATATATTAAAATACTAATAATAAATATGCATATTACCCCTCTGTTGATAGGACAACAGATTTTTTAGAAATTCTATACTGTGTATGTGATTTGAATTAATTTGGTAGCACCAATGATTGAATTCAGCCCTAAGTTGGAATATTTCAATTCATTTTTCTTTTTATTGTATATAAGGTATACAACATGACGCTTTGATATACATAGTAAATTGATTACTGCAGGTAAACAAGTTAATATTTCCATCACTTTTCATAGTTACTTCTTTTTATGGTAAGTGCAATGAAACCCACTTCCTTAGCAAATCTTTCCCATATGTGACACGTTGTTAACCCGGTTCTCCTGCTGTACCCTGGGGCTCACTGCAGCCTTCCACCTTCAGCCACACCCTGGTCTCCAGAGCCTCTGGGTGTCTGGCTCTGGTAGCATTTAGTGCCACCCATTTCTTCATTGATTCCTGGAAATTATCAGCTATGTGTTGAGTACCTCCACTGCTAGATTTTGGTAGATGCACAAATCCTTTCTTTTTCTTCTTTCCCTAAATAATATTCAGGCAAGAAGAAACACAAACACACCACTGTAAGGAAACATTATTTTATGAAGGGAGTTCAAATAAGGTTCGAGGTATTTACCGAAAGCAGAGCAGAAAGGCCTACCTGGGTGTCATGGGAAGGCTTCCCGAGAGCAGCGGATCTTTGCATCTGCGTGATTAACACAGGGGCAGGGACAGTGGCTGCTGCATGGAGTGCTTAGGGGGCTCCAGCCCAGCGTGAAGTTCCCGAGCATGCACAGCAGTGCCCTGCCAGGAACCTTCAGCAGGCCTCCCAGTGAGGGAAGCGAGGCTCTGTGAGAGGCATTACCACTCAGCAGCTACTCATTGACACAGAGCTGGGCTTTACAAACTAAGAGGAGGGCACAGAGGGAAACACATGCATTGTGGAGTCTGTGTCAGTGCGTTTGACGCCTGGTCCTGCTGTGTTGGCTGTGACATCACTGCATGCAAATGGCCTCACCTCCATTTGTCAGGAGCCTCGGCGTTGAAACGGGAGTCACCATGGATGGGAGGTGAAGAGGGGACTTTGCAGGGGCTGAAGGTACTGTGACACGTGCCAAACACGGGCCTCTGCTGTGGGTGGAATGACAGCCGGTCCCAGCACGCAGGGCTCCGTGCGCTCCACTCGGCTACTACTTGAGCTCGGTGAGAGGAGGGGCTGGGCACCCCGCCGTGCCCCTTCCTGCATTTAGGACTAGCCTCTGTGCTGGGGGCCAGCCGGATCCGGTGAGCCACAGGCCTGTCCTCAGGTATTCCACGGTCAAAGGTGAGAAACGAGCCCCGTGTCTCCCAGAGGCGCTGGCGGGAACGGTGGCTACAGCAGCTCGGGAAAGGCCGGGCCAGCCGACTGCGTGTCCAGGCAGCAGGCTGGTCCCACGTGGGCGCTGCAGGCGGGTGGCAGGCATGGCGGCGTGGGGGGCGGTGGCTGAGTACAGGTGAACCCGGGGGCTCCTGGGCAACTCCACGGCTCCTCCCGGGTGAAACGTCCCACCTTCGTGGGCGCTGCTCTGGTTTTCAGAAGAGGCCGAAACACCTGCAAACCACAGCCATTCGAATGAAACGCGCTACGTCTGACGGTCAATGCAGACGTTTTGAAAACCACACCCATAGCCCCATGTGGGAACACGGGGTCATCTGCGCGCTCACCGCGGGCTTTTCTAGAGACAGCTGATTTCCAGGCCCTGCCACCACCCAGCCTGACTTCGTCCTGTGCGTTTAGCCCCGGCCGGGCTCACCAGGCTGCGGAGACGCTGCAGGGAGGGGCTGCGGGCCCGGCGGGAAGGCGGCCGGATGCGGG